ATGCTATTTGCCCAGCTTATATAAAAGAAAGTCTAAATTATGGCCATAAGAGATCATTCAGTTAAATATATGAAGTAGGTGGAAAAACCCTCCACTCTGTGTTTAAATGATTTCATCATTTTTACCCTCTAAGTAGATTTGAGGCTACTGAAGCGATTGAAGCCTCTTAACTTTTTTCCATGCACAACCCAGCATGGGAGCCCATTGGGTTCAGTGTGTTTCAAAGTTTGTTTCCTTGTGAAGATAAAAATATGAAGTTATAAGCTCAGTAGTAGGAGGAACTGGTTTAGGTGCTTAGGTGTTAATAACTGACTGTTGGGTAATGATTATGATCATTCTTAATAGCGCTCACGCAGGAAGGGTTTTTTCTTCCAGCTTATGATATTCACAGCCCTTTGAACCTATTATTTAAGAATGTATTACCAGAGTTTATAGTGTAATAGGTTGGGTATATATGTTTGTCATTTTTTTTTATTTGTTTAATATTCAAAAGGTAGAGTAGTATATAGTTTAATTTATAAGCAATGTTGTCCATTATGCCACAGAATGTACCAGCTGTCACTTTTTCTGTATTTAGGCACCTTTCACACTGGTGTGCTTTTGCCATGCTGTTCCAGGGTTACAAAAGCACATGAAAACTGTTCCCCATTAAAGTAGAACTATAGGTAAAACTTTTTTTTCATTTTGGATAGAGCAAGGGATTATTATTATTATACAGTATTTATATAGTGCCAAAAAGTTTGCTCAGCGCTGTACATTATAGTGGGGGACATTACATGAGACAATACAGTAACAATACAATACACGAGGGTTCGAGGGCCCTGCTCCTTTGAGCTTACAATCTAGGAGGGAGGGGATAGTGGTACAGGAGGAAATGGCTGTGGGGGATGGAGTGGTAGGAGGAGTGGAGTAGATCGGCTGTTAGGTGAGGGCAGGGTAGGCTTCCCTGAAGAGATGGGTTTTCAGGGTGCACCTAAAGGTGAGGAGGGTAGATGACAGTCTGATGGATTGGGGTAGTGAGTTCCAGAGGATGGTTGTAACCCCTGTCAGATTTTTTTTTTGCCATCTTTGTTCCATTGGGGAGATTAACCTTCACTTCCTTTCCCATAGCAAAACCTGAAGTGAGAGGAAATTCCTGCAAATTAAGGGAATTTATTGGGGACCCCCAGGTCACCAGAACGAATGTCCCCATTGGAAGATTTCCCCTCAATTACTTTTTTGGGGACAACCCAAAATTCTGGATTTTCTTTTACTTTCACTTTCAATTATAATAGTAAACAGAACAAATAGGGTGAATCTTCATAACGGGAACAGACAGCAATAAAAACCTGACAGGTTATAATTCCAGTTTTTCAAAAGCACATCGAAAAGACCCTTCCATTGTAAGTCTATGGGAACACATCGAAAACACATCAATAGCCCTTAGTAATGAGATGGTAGCTCAACCTGCAATTTTTAGAAATCTGCAGTCTGATCAAGGTCTGTTAAAGTGGTTGTAAATCCTTATATACCCAATGAAGTAACAAGCCTCAGGTGATGCACAGAGCTGAAACAAATCCTTAAACATAAATTGTACATGTTTATCTGCAGACTCTTCTCTACAGCCTTCCAAAACACACATTCTATGCAGCATCTTTCAGCAGCAGAAAGCAAGATGTGGGAATCTGATGTCACACACTGCGCAGCTAGAGCATAGCGCTCTGTGAAATCTGATAGCTGATTGAAGGGACAGACCCCCCCTCTAACAGGCTCTTAGAGGAAAACACAGAGCTGAATCTATGAGTCACCTAAGTACTGGGGGGGCGGGGGGGTGCAGGCTGAAGTTTTGGGTTAGTGACTCGTAACAGAGGGATCAGAGCAGGTTTAGACTTGGTGCTTTGGATTCAGGATAGCACACACTATACAGGGATGTGCTTTGTTCACTTTTCATGTTTGAGGTTTACAACCTCTTTAAACTGGTGATACACTGATACTTCTGTTGGCAGAATGGAAACCATCAGACAGGTTCCTCCAACCTCCAAGATAAACTTTATTTGGTTGCTGGTTGCTTTACTTTTGACTCCTAAATTAATCTGTGTAGGAATCTGTTTTGAATGCCCAACTGAAACTAAAATTTGTATAATGATGGCTACATATCTCTCATAAAATACCTGTACACTGTAGGCAAAACCAATAATTTGTTTTTCAAAACCCTGAAAGTGTAGGAGTTGATAAGACAATGTCACCCCACCTACACATATTTTTAAAGCAGACCTAAGGTAAAAAAATAGTTAAAATATAGAGTTGGGACTTTAGATATACCACTGGTAGCCAATATCAGAGACCAAATTTACTTTATATAAAAAAAAAAGCATAATTTTTATTACAAACATTCAGTTGAAAATTCACACATTTAACATGAGTTTAACAAAATACCAATTTCAAAAGACAAATTATTATTTGCTGTCATACGTCCTTATAGTAGTCAACACGTTTTGTGGGTCCCCCCGCTTCTTCAGGACCCTTCTTGAGGGGGTAATATATACACACTTTGTTGCAAGTTTTTTTTTATAATCCACTTTTTTGTTTTTCTCTTTAGAATTTAACCCTATTATATTTTGTTTAATTTCTTGTCTCAAAGCAACCACCATTGGTCTTGAAAAAGCGGTGGTACCCACCAACCGAGTTGACCACTAAAAGGACATATGACAGCCATCAAGAATAATTTGTCTTTTGGAATTGGTATTCTATTAAACTTTTGTTAAATGTGTGAATTTGTAACTGAATGTTTGGAATAAAAATTGTGCTTTGTTATATATAGAGTAAATTTGGTATTTTATATTGGCTACCAGTTGTATATCTAAAGTCTCAACTCTATATTTTTTTTTTTAATCTTATATGTACATGGGATGATACCCTGGAGAGACGTATTATCTAACTGATCTAGACATCACACCCCTATATAACACTTTGCAACTATCTGTAGAAAATAGTTCCATCTGTTCCAATGGTCTGACACCGGCAAAGTTCCTTGCTGACATCTTCCTGGCTTCTTCCAGGTGTCGGCCTTCAGCCATCTTGATTGGCAAGTATGGGATGACTTCACTTTTGCTCATGCGCATCCTGGGATATAGGCACTGTGCTCGAACATAAGCTGAGCTTCGCATGCAGCATACATTCTACAGAGGATTGCGAATAGGCAAGTGAGTGTATTTTATTGCAGAAGAAGCACAGCTTGTCTCTCCTGCAGTAAAGAGCCTGCCTGTTAGCAATTGCTTTCAACTTTAGTTCCCTTTTAATTATATTGTTTCTTCTGACAATATTTAAATTAATCTCATTCTTCTATATACTCCTGCTCAAATTATAATAATTCCTTCTAATCAATTGTCATGCATGCCATAGCACTAGAATTAATAAAAAAACAAAGACAAATGCCTTGCATCTAACCGAAGAGGCAGAGGTTTTATTATTTATAAGTGTGATTTAAAAGTAAAATCAGAAATATTGATTTCTACTTGACTGGAGACTTGATTTAGTTGGAATATCAGACTGATCCTAATCAGGTGAGAATTAATTGAGTCTGAGGTCTTAGATATTCACTGATGTTAACTGAACCATGATCAGTCTAGGCCAGGCTGGTTTGTGCATTACTATGACAATTCCAAGTAGCTCACGCACCCAGCATAGAACAATACACGGCAGTGTGTAATCTCATTCTCAAGCTCATCTTCTCAACTTCCTGGCTCATTACATGCACCCGCTAAAGATTCTCTGAGCACTTGCACATTGTAGGCTGCATCATAGCAAACTAATCAACCTTGATCTGGCACAAAATTAAAGGCATGCTAGCTTTGTGACGAAATGGGTTTTTGGAATCTGCCTTAGCTTCTTTACAACTCCACATACCGTATATGAGAGCAAATTTTATTGCTAAAAATACAACTTTCTGCTCTCTGGCTGTTACTAAACAATTACTGTTTATTACATCTACTTTATATAAGTTTCTCATTTATATTTACAATTTTTTTCTCAGTAAGTTTGCATTCCCCACCCATCCTTCTATAGAAACCACACCACTAGAGTAAACATCTTATGTAGAATTCATAAACCAGGCAAATTTAGCTTGCAGATGCCTATAAAAACATGTACCTCAACTGATGACAAAGGAAAAGGCAAAAATACAATTTTGTAGCTGTTAATATTAAAATTGTGTTACTTTTATGACCACTTAATGATCTACGTTAAAGCATAAGTTCACCTTTGCGAACAAGTTATATCTCCATCCGTTTTTAGGGTGCAACATGTAACATGTACCCTATGCTGCAGCTGCTAAGTTCAAGGAGAAGTTCCCTGCACTAGCTGTCACTTTTTAAAAACAGCGCGGCCGTGTGGAGCTCTGCCCACACAGCCACGTCATTCATTCACAGAGTTATGTGAATGAATGAACTACAAGTCCTGACAGACTTAACGGCTGTCAGCTTGTAGTTCTCAATGAACTACCATGGCACTGTAGGGTGCTGTGGTAGTTCATTGACTCCTCCTATCAGAATATCTGCCTGCCCGTATATCCCATACAGGCAAGCAGATATACTGACAGGTCTGCCTGCAAAAAAAGTGTAATTATTATTTTTTGTCAAAAGGTGAACTTATCCTTTAACCCTCTTGGTCTTTTTAACTGCCTCCCGCCCGCCATATAGTCCAATGACGGGCGCAAGGTGGTTCTCTCGTTCTGGGAGGACGTCATATGACGTCCTCCCATTCTCACCGCGCATGCGCAGCGATCTGCAGTGCGCTGTGTCCCTCAGACACAGTGGATCACCGATCCACGGTATGAGCTGAAGATGTCGGCTCGGTCATGTAATCAGCTGTGTCCAATCACAACTGATCGCATGTAAACAGGGAAATGCCGGTTATCGGCATTTCTCTCCTCACGAGCTGTCACACTCACAGCTTGTGAGGATTGAGGGGAGCCGGTAATCGGCATTCCTTGGAGGGGACATGTACACTGATCATCAGGGCACTGATGATCAGTGTAGCCCCAGCAGTGCCACCAGTGTCCATCAGTGCCAGCTCTCAGTGCTCATCCATGCCACTTGCCAGTGCCCATCAGTGCCACATCAATGCCACATATCAGTGCCTACCATTGCACATCAATGCCACATTTCAGTGCCTACCAGTGCACATCCATGCCACATATCAGTGCCCATCTGAGCTGCCTTTCAGTGTCACCCATCAGTGCCAGTCATTGCCACCTATCAATGCCAATCAGTGCCACCTATCAGTGCTGCCAATCAGTGCCAGCCAGTGCCGCATATCAGTGCCAGTCAGTGCTGCCTAACAGTGCCAGTCAGTGCCATATATCAGTGCTGCCTTTCAGTGCCCATCAATGATGCCTGTCAATGCCCATCAGTGCCACATACCAGTGCCTCCTCATCAGTGTCCATCATGCAGCCTCATTGGCGCACATCAGTGAAGGAGAAAAATCACTTATTTACAAAATTTTATAACAAAAACTAAGAAAAAAAGGGTTTTTTTTTCAAAGTTTTCAGTGGTTTTTGGTTTGTTTAAGAAAAAATAAAAAACCCAGAGGTGATTAAATACCACCAAAATAAAGCTCTATCTGTCACAAAAACAATGATAAATTTCATATGGGTACAGTGTTGCATGACCACGCAATTGTCATTCAAAGTGTGACAGCGCTGAAAGCTGGAAATTGGCCTGGACAGGAAGGGGGTATAAGTGCCCTGTAGGCTAGTGGTTAAAGACTGATTCCATAAAGTTATAAGATTCAAACTATAGTAATTGAGTTCCCTGAATAACATATAACATTACTCGATAGGCAGACCAGTTATTTAAATGAAGGCCACACAAAAATTATAATACTCCAATTAAAAAAGCAAATCCCGCATGCTGATATACTGTAAGATGTGGTTCAAATAATAAACTCTTGTATTAGCCTTTAACAAAGCCAAATACATGGTGCTGGAGCAAACCTAGCATTTTAGATTTTGCTTTGCTGCTTCTATACTATTTTTAATACAACCCTGGTTGCATTTGTATGCAGTGAAAACAGATTATTGACATTAATAAGTGCACAATTGAAGTTCCCTTCTGTGTTTCACTTCATGATCCAAAAAGTTAAACCGCTTTATTAACCTTTTACATACATGAATTTAAAATGCATATGAAACATCAAAACAGGGTCATGTATTCAAGCAATAATAAACCTTAGGGCACAGCAAGGATATCAACACAAGTACCACAATACTGTTTTTTATGCCTTTAATGTTTTTTTGCATTAGCAATTTTAACATTTTGTGAGTTTTTGAGACTTGTTTTTGCTAAAATAAAAATACATTTGTGGAGTAATGCTGTTTCATGTGAGCAGGGAAATTTGCCTGTCACTTCTAACCACAATATTGGAAGCACTTTATTCATATTTTTTTTTATTACAGTGGTCTGTAGAGTAGTAGATAGTGAGTCCAGACGTTAATGGTTTCAGCTCCTGCGCTGAGCATTGGGCCTTGGACTTTTATTCAGTACCAGCATCTTATCTGCTGGAATTCCATGCAGCCTTTAAAATTAGTCCAAATTTTCAGGTTGATTTCAAGGTACATAATAAAGGATAAGTTTCTGTTTTTATGTTGAAACATATAACATGGTCCAGCATCTGCACCTGTGATTCCCCCCTCCCCCTTGCTGTGACAGCGGGCAGGGGATCTTCTCCCCACACCCACTGTCACTGTTTGAAAACAGCACGGCCCCATCATTCATACAGTTTCCTGCGAATGAATAGCTTGCAAGTACCATCAGCCATTACAGCTTACTGCTTTTAGTTCTCAATGAACTAAGAGGGTGCTGGTAGTTCATGTTCATTGATCTTTGAGTAACTGCCTGCCCCTACGAGGTACGTGCAGTCAGCTATCCTGAGAGTCTGCAGGAGCCATGCTCTGTTAATCAGGTGCAGTGCTCTGTTATCTACAAAAAGGTGCATTCATTTTTTTTTTTTTTTTTTTTTTTTAAAGGTGAACTTAGCCTTTAAAGACACATATTAATGCCACTTCGTATGCATTATTATACCTTTGTTATACAGGATTTAAATAGTGGCAGCAGTTTGCATAACATTTTACAAAGTAAAGGGAGATAGTATAGTTACAGTACTATTCAAGGCAAAAGGGTTAGGAGGGACCTACTTTATTTTTAAAGCTAATGTAAGTTCCTGAATTTTATTTAGTATTAGTCTCCTGTTATCCTTTCTACAGCAGCACGCTGACTGGAAGAGGGAGAGGCAGGACTGGTAGCCAGTTAGGTGCACTGCATGCAATTGTTTGGATAAGGAACCTGTTGATAGAAAAGAGCAGAATGAGCAAACAGATGTCCTACTCAGCCTGCTTGTGCACCTTCGCTGTTCATCCACATGGTTGTGTGGCAGAGCTGTGTGAATATCAGGATTTTAAGAAATACAATTCCTTTGCCAGGTTTAGCAACTCTCATATACACTCACTGGCCACTTTATTAGGTACACCTTGCTAGTACCAAGTTGGCCCCTCTTTTGCCTTCAGAACATCCCTAATTCTTTGTGGCATAGGTTCAGTAAGGTGTTGGAAACATTCTTCAGAGATTTTGGTCTGTATTGACATGAGTTACTGTTGCCTTTCTATCATCTCAATCCAGTTTGCCCATTCTCCTCTGACATCAACAAGGCATTTTGTCCACACAACTGCCGTTCACTGGATATTTTCTCTTTTTCGAACCATTCTCTGTAAACACTAGAGATGGTTGTATGTGAAAATCCGAGTAGATCAGCAGTTTTTGAAATACTCAGACCAGCCTGTCTAGCACCAACAACCATGCCACGTTCCAAGTCACCTAAATCCCCTTTCTTGCCCATTGTGATGCTCAGTTTGATCTTCAGCACATCTAGATGCCTAAATGCATTGAGTTGTCATGTGATTGGCTGATTAGCAATTTGTGTTACTAAGCAATCGAACAGGTCTACCTAATAAGTGGCTGGTCAGTGTATATTTAGTGACCGGTCATACTGGTGGGATTTGCAAATTGAAATCGCATCTAATGAATGTGAATGTCAGTGTCTTAACATGTACGTGTCTCTGCGTAGTAGTTTTTGCATTACTTTTTCTGCAGAATGGAAATCGCTCTGTAAATTGCAAAAAATTGTTAAAAATCTTCACAAATAGTAATAGTCTTCAGAAATTGCACTGAAATTGCACACAAATCATGCGATTTTTAAATTGCAGCGGTGTGACCGGGGTGTAGTTTAGTTCTAAAACGAAGACTTGCAACTTCAGCAGCATTTTAAAATAGCACCTGGGTATCAACTAGTTAACACAGAATCACATTTTATATCTCGTCCCTACCATATTTTAATTTATTGTGTTTGAAATATGCATTTTGGTTGCTAGGGGTTACTGCAGTTTGCAGAGCCTTATAAAACAGGACCTTTTTATTAACAGTCAGCATTAACAGCTGTATTTGGACAGCATTTGTCTTGATTTTCTAAGTCACTTTAGGCTTCCAAGAAAAAGAAAATTAACCTTTTTAACACGTTGTACCCTGCTGGCAGCTTGCAATGACGCTGCATCCTTCTCAGTGCTCCTATGCACTTAGCACAGTCCTCCACCTCAGCTGCTCTTTGTTTTAACGCCTGCAAATCATATCATTGCAAAGTGTTGAGCATACAGAAAATAAATAAATAAAAGTAGCCCTCCCTATTCATGGCAAACACTTTCATTTATTTGAAGAGTGTGATCACAATATCTTAAGTGTTGTGATAATATACATGGTGAGATGACACCTCAGTAGGGCCAGCTACTAAGTAGAAAAATTGTAAAGATTTTTGAGCCGCCGCAGCCAGGGCAATGCTAGCAAAGTTATGCTGATGTCTGTAGTTATGTTTTTTAACAAGTTTCAGCCTTGCTGCTATATCTCAGTGGCTGTTGAATACATTGCTTGTAACTTAGAACATTTCTTATGATGCGAAACATGACATGGCTTACTGGCAAGTGTAGTTATCAGATAACAGAAGTAACTCCTACACCCTTAAGCAGTAAATAAAGATAGCACTGCTACGAAAGTATAAAACCAGTAAGGTGAAGCGATAGAAACAAGTTGCAGTAAAAAAACTAGGTTGCGCTAAACTGTTTCATAACTGATTAAAAGGAGAACTCAAGGCCGAAAACATTCAGTGATGTAGGTAAAGTTAGACGTTTTCTTTCTCCTCTTCCTCCAGTGAGAGATTTCTCTGTATTTCACCATTGGCTCCTCTTCTCAGAGTTGAATTTGAAGTTTCCTCTTCTCTTCTAATGAATTGAATTCCGGGATGAGAGCAGAGAGTCTCTGGAAGTGAGTGTCCCTCACTGATGAGTAATTGGGGCACTGTAGCAGGGAGTCGTTTTCATCCTCCAGGTCCCCCTTGTCGCATTGCTGGAACAGTCTACTCTCCCTGGGCTTGTAGGTCTGTCTGTGCCATCCTGATTTGATTTCCAGGCTGTGGGTGCTCAGCCTGTACAGGCTTAGAGTCTGTCTTTGGGGTCATGTAGCACCTCCAGGTATGAGGCCAGTTTGTAGTCTCTGCAGTGACTGGTAAACAGTTTCTTGGAGTTTTTCATTTCTCAATTCCCCAACATATTTTTTTTTGGAATCATTCATTATGTTTTTTATTTGAGATTTTGTCGGTCCAGGTTGTTCGGTGTTTGGGATAGACATGGCGCTGATGAGTTGTTGCAGGCCACGTGGCTTCGTCTGCTCCTTATTGGTCATTAGGGTCTTGAGGTGGTATGAGTTAGGACTGCTGTTTTGTAGGTGATCCCAGTATGATAGCGCCCTCTTCTGTACTTCCCAGCTCAGAATCGGCAAGAACTGTTGGAGGTGCTTCAATGGACTTGGATAAGGTGCTTGCAGAATTCTAGATGAAATATTTCTGGTGGGCTAGAGTCCCATTTGGATTGGTCTGGGTAAGTGAGAGGACCCCAAACTTTACTGCCATATAGGATTGGAGTGAAGATGCTGTCAAAGAATCTAAGCCAGACTTTTACTGGTAGTTTTAGGTGGTACAGCTGTCTCCTGATGTTACATAAAGCTCTGCATGCTTTGTCTCTTAGGCCACTATGGCTGGCTGGAAACCACCTGATTGGTTCATTTCTAGGCCAAGGTATGTGTAGCTGTTTGTTTCACCAAGAGTGCAGTTGTCTAATGTAAAGGAAGGGCTCTTTGTTTTTGTGTTCTTCTTTGGAAAAACCATGATGTTTTCTTTGATTTGGGTAGTGCCCATGTAGCACTGTATTTCTTTAGCACTTCCAAGCTGTCTTGTAGGCCTCTCTCTGTTGATGACAGTAGTAAGAGTTCACCCGCATACAGCAGGAACTTCACCTCAGTGAACTTCACCTCAGAAGTCAGTCTATGTGCTAGGGAGGATTCTAGAGCTGCAGCCCATTTCCTTTATGTAGATGTTG